CTCGCCGCTATGATCCTGCTCTCTGGGTGCCGTATCTATGACAACGGTCTCCGGCCTGCGTGTGTGTGAGAGAGTGTGTGTGTGTGTGTGTGCTGCAGAATCTGATCGTCTCGTGTTCACGGTCGAGTGTTTAGTGGCCTGTTGTAATCAGGCTGGTGTTTTTGGTGACAGATGGTCCTGCATTCACTGCCTATATAAGCTCTTACTGATATCATAACGTCTAACAATTTATTGTTTCTATATTTCATCATTAATGCACCAGTATGGATTTTTCAGTAGCAAGATAAGAGCGGTTGACCGATATCATGTTATTATACCTGCTGTGGACTAATAGTTTAAAGGAGTCATAATCTGCCTCGGTTTCTCTGAGGTCGACGAATAATAAACATCATAACGTAGAAGTAATAAGCTATTTTCTGTCCTGTTTTAACCCTCCTCATCAGAACGCTGTTTGGATAGGCGTGGAGGATTGTAGAGTCGGAAGTAAACACCCACTGCTGTGATTGGCTAACAGTTGTGTATGATTGACAGTCTACATCTTTCACAGATGGACGCTGCTGTGATTTAGGTTAAAAACACATAAATACTCACATCAAACTGTTTAACAGACAAAGCAGTAGTGATCACGTCATGAAAACAGTTACACTTGTGTTGCGACATTACAGTCAGATCCAGTAGTCGACAGCATCGTCTATTAGTTTCAGTCTTTCTGAAAATCCCACGTTGAATTGTGCTTTGTTTGTAAACGAATCCGCTGTAAAATGAAGTGAACAAAGGAGTTCTCACTGACGCGGTCTGGAACTTCATTAAAAATAAAGTTCATCCACTCTTTTCTAACGTTGGGATCTGAAGGAAGGCGATGTTTTTACACAACTTGGCACTGCACAGTGTCTTGTCGTCTTCGGAGCATCTTTATCATTTAGTTTCTGTGTAGACCCGCGTTCGCCTCTCTCCTAAACACTACATGTGCGAATCAGTGGGCGGGGCTAAACAGGCAGCGATGTAGAAGCAGGCGTTAATCTTCTGCAGAGGCGGGGTTTATCCACACTATTACATCATAGAGTAGAACATTCCACAAGCTGTAGTTTTGGCTGACTGCCTTCAGTATAAGCTGGTTTAGACTAATGACAAAGATTTGAGTTCTGAAACTTACAGCATGTTTTTATAGTACAATGACCTCTTATATGTCAAAAGATCAAGGGAATTTTGGTTTCTCAGTTCATGACCCCTTTAATTATGACATTGGTGATACATAAACAGATTTTATACAAGGTTAGAAATCCATGCAGAGCATTTAAACATGTTCACTGTGCAGTCGTGCTGTCGTAACAGAAAAGCCTGACATCAGCTTGAGTTGAGTTTCCGTGATGGCTTCTGCTGTTTGTGAAGCTGCTTTGACACGATTGGCGTTTCTCTACGAATGAAGCTGACTTGATCAACTCTCCCAATCCACAGTTTCATTCAGTGCTGAAATATGTGGACAAAAATGTCAAATGTAAAAAAGTCAAGTCATGTTTATTTGTATTGCTGTTAAACGAACACTCCACTATTTTTGAAAATAGGCTAATTTTCCGACTCGCCTAGAGTTAAACAGCTGAGTTTCACCGTTTCCGAATCCATTCAGCCGATCTCCGGGTCTGGCGGTAGCACTTTTAGCTTAGCTTAGCATAGATCATTGAATCTGATTAGACCGTTAGCATCTCGCTCAAAAATGATCAAAGAGTTTCTATATTTTTCCTGTTTAAAACGTGACTCTTCTGTAGTTACATCGTGTACTAAGACCGACGGAAAATGAAAAGTTGTGATTTTCTCGGCCGATATGGCTGGGAACTATACTCTCATTCCGGCGTAATAATCAAGGAGCTTTGCTGCCGTAGCATGAGTGCAGCAGGCTCAATGATATTACGCAGCGCCTGAAAATAGTCCCCAGCACGCTCCCTGTGCAAGCAGGTGGTCACGTTGGTTATGTTGACGGAAGTTAGCCTATTTTCATAATAGATTCAAATCAACTTGAATTTAATTGAATTGTATTGCACTTTTCCACCTCATTTGACAGAAGTGTTGATGTTTAAATGTCATCCGTTCATGAGCTGCTGTGTAAGTGAGTCGTGTGTGTTGAACAGGTGTGTTTCTGAGTGTGAGTGTGAGTTGAACACGAGGCCAGTGCGAGCGAGCAGCAGAGAGGCTGTAAATGATGATTAATTGATGATCGTGACGTCAGTGAGGTGCTTGTGTTTGTGTTGCAGTGGCGCCGAGGTTCACTAAGATTCCCACGGATCAGATCGGTGTGTCCGGCGGAGTCGTGTCGTTCGTGTGTCAGGCCGCAGGCGACCCCAAGCCTCAGGTGTTCTGGAACAAAAAGGGCAAGAAAGTGAATTCACAGAGGATCGAGGTGAGAAGCACAGCATCAGATCACTCTGTGACGAGATTCCGACTGAATCAGGCAGTCGTGACAAGCAGACTGAGTGAATGAATGAATAAATATATACTGTATATATATATATATATACAGTGGTGGCCAATATTATTAGAACACTAGTAGAACAAACTGAGACTCAATCCAGAAGAACTGACGCTTCTAGAAACCTGCTGCGAAGCTCCTGAGAAACTCTGCTCAAGTGCACCGAGGGCAAACGCTGCTTTAAACACAAAGATGCTCACACCAAATGATGATTTCATTTAGTTAATAGAAGTTAATTGATACAGAAAATCTATTTTTGACAGCATCCTCATTTTACAGCATTTTTACTTTCAAACTTTCAAACTTTCTTGAAGCGTCTCAGAGACACAGTTCTTCTGGATTGAGTCTCAGTTTGTTCTGTTTCTTCATGTGACTCCAGACAGACTGATGATGATCAGATCAGAGCTCTGTGTGCAGCACTAACATATATCTCACTGCATTAAGTGAGTGAGTGAGTGAGTGAGTGACGTGACGTGACATGTGGCCAAGTATGGTGACCCATAAGTGAGTGAGTGAGTGAGTGAGTGACGTGACGTGACATGTGGCCAAGTATGGTGATCCATACTCAGAATTAGTGCTCTGCATTCACCCATCCAAAGTGCACACACACAGCAGTGAACACACACAAACCGTGAACACACACACCCAGAGCAGTGGGCATTTTTATGCTGCGGCGCCCGGGGAGCAGTTGGGGGTTCGGTGCTTTGCTCAAGGGCACTCAGTCGTGGTATTGAAGGTGGGAGAGAGCGCTGTACATTCACTCCCCCCACCTACAATCCCTGCCGGTACGAGACTCGAACCCGCAACCTTTGGGTTATGAGTCCGACTTTCTAACCATTAGGCCACGACTTCCCCTATTATATATAAACGAGGCCATTATTACAGTTAATGACACAAACTGATATTTCCTCCTGACACACTCCAGCAGACGACAGAAATAACTGACTTAAAACCATTTTTAGCTGCTGATAATATTAGTGATCCACTGTATACATACATACACACACATGGTTTTATCAGGTGTGTACAGTAGATGATTAGTTACCGTGTGTGTGTTTAAAACACATGTGTTCAAATGTCCCAGTTGGACAGTAACAGCTGAAATCAGCTAATGTTTTCCAGAATATCAGTCACGTCTGAATATTACTGAAAATTGCATTGCTGAGAGAAAAAAACACAGATAAGTCACATCGGTGTATAAATTGCATTTTATTATTATACTGTAAAATACCAGTAAATGAAACATTTACAGTACAAACATTATAAACACTGTGATATCCTCTCACGCCACAGCAAGCCCTTTAAATGTAACTGTACTCAGAACAGAATGAAAGATTTAAATATAAAAGAAACATAAATTATAGTGACATTCATTGTAAACAACATTTATTATAAACGCCAAGCCTAAACGAGTTCATTTAAAGTGCTTTATAAATAAACTTGCCTCTCGTTCCTCTCACATTCAGCACCAGTACAAATGTGTGTGATTTGACCATGCTTTACGTGCTTGACATTAATTGCATTTCATAAAACTCACTTTGGAATAGAAGTCAAATCATGTTTCATATGATAAAAAATACAATAAATACAATACAATTAATTCTGTGGAGCGGCCAATGGTCCCCATACGGAAAACTGATTATTAAACATTCTAAATAATATTTTAAATGTGTGAGAGTGTGTGTGAGTGTGTGTGTGTGTGTGTGAGAGAGTGTGTGAGAGAGAGAGAGAGTGTGTGTGTGTGTGTGTGTGTGTGGGGGAGGGTGAGAGTGTGTGTGTGTGTGAGAGAGTGTGTGTGAGAGAGTGTGAGAGTGTGTGTGAGAGAGAGAGAGTGTGTGCGTAGTTTACGAGTTTACGCAAGCGCCGGAAGTGATCGCTCGTGTGTATACGTCACTCATTGTTTACACAGTGCACAGTCATTGGTGGCTAATCAAAATGGTACTTACTTGCGCTTATCCGGATTGTTCAAACTGACTTCTGAGCCTGCTCACCTGAAGTTATGGTCGATTGCTCTTCGGCTGGATATCAACACACTGTGACGAGTCGGCTGCCTCCCCCTAATTATCAGCATCACCCCGTCCCTTAATCGCCGCCCTTCACCAGGAGGGGCGCTGAAATAGCCAGGGCTTGGCGGCGTGTGATGGGCACACCTGAACCGAATGGAGCCTCATCACCGCCGCTGTTTAAATGCCGAGCGCGCCTCTCCTCGGGAGACCGGTCTCTTCCCTGTGCATGCACGCTGGTGTCCTCGTGGGTCCAGGAGGGGTGCGTAGAGGGACTCCCGTGCCGCCAGAGTCGTGAGCTGCCGGACCCGCAGTCCGGACGAGAACCACACCCGTTACACGGCCGTCGGGCAAGGATGCTGGGCCGTCTAGTCCCTTCAAGCGCCGTGGGTTGAGAGAAGGACGAAGCCGCTGATAGAAGCCGCCGCGGTATCAAAAAATGATATAAATACTGTTCGGTTTCTGGCACAAACTGATCGTTTCGTGTGTTGGGACATCAATGTGTCGTCACAAGCCACAGGGTTTCATTTGGATTTGTCTGCGCATGTTTTTTTTTTACACTCATAGATTTGGTTACCATTGCCATGCATTATACGACTGATAGACTGCAACGGCTGGAGTTAAAAATCATCAAATGTGTTCTACTGAAGAAACAAAGTCACCTACATCTTGGATGCCCTGCGGGTAAGCAGATAAACATCACATTTTCATTTTTGGGTGAACTATCCCTTTAACCACTGATAGTTGTGGTCCTCTTTTGGAAGACCAAACAAAGTAGTTTTGCTTTCACAACGAAACACACAGCGTCTTCACGACGCGGCGGCAGCAACAATACTACAGCGAGAATAAAAGTTACGCCTTCTTTCTTTGCGTGAACATTTGGGTGGTGTTATGCAAATCTTCCCACATAGTGATGTAGACATGTGGGGGCGTGTTAGAACGAGCCGTTTTAGGTAGACGTGGCTGACTCTTAACTTTTATAAAGTGTAACGGTGGTGGGCCCCCAGAAAACAATTTATAGTCAATATTTCGATCAATTGTTTTTTAAGTCAACATTTTCGGGCGCCAGACAGGTATAAGCCTGCCAAGAAAAACCCAGGATAGCTTAAAATAACCACCTGTTATATTCAACAAACTAAATTTTCACAGAGACTTTTAATTAACAAAAATGGGTTTACTCAACACCAAAAAAAAAAAAAAACAGTCAAAACTAGTTTGATCAACACCAAACAATCCACAAAAAAAAACAACAGCCTCAATCAAATATAACAAAGAAAAATGTAACAAATGATCAGAAAAAAACAAAAATCATAGAACAATTTCAGACTCCACTACTCATTTTCTCTTTGTTCTTGGTATATATATTTTTTAACCCATAAGATACGTCAGATACGGCACAGTTCATTGTAACAGGGCTTTCAGTAGATTCACATTTTAAATCCCAGTTTGTCCATGTAAGGAAAACACAATGAATAAGTAGTTTGTAGGAGTAAGGGAAATCAACAAATCAACAAAACAATATACAGTGGGGAAAAAAAGTATTTAGTCAGCCACCAATTGTGCAAGTTCTCCCACTTAAAATCAGGCTCAATAAACTAGAAAAACGAAATTAAATAAACACATCGGTAGTGCGTGTTTGAATAGCGTGGAACACGAGCCACACTCCACACGGTAACTCCAACTCAACTTCTCTCCCACAACTCTGACGAGAACTGTGTTCACTTGTGACGTCTCTCGCCCCAGGTGTGTGAGCCTCGCCCTTATATTTGCTTCTCCCTTTAATTGATATGCATGCCTCCCTTTATGTCATTGAGTTGTGAAATGAAAGTGAAAGCAAACAAGTGGCATACAGAGTTTTCCGTTCTGCCGCAAAATAATATCTCTTTGGATTTGAGACTTTAGTCTTTGCAACTTTACAGATCTTCTTTATGCACCAAGAGCTTGTAACACTCCAAAGAGAAAGGAACACTTGAAATCGCATCATATGACCCCATTAACGTATTTGAATAATAGAAATGTGTTAGTGTGTTATGTGTAAGCCAGGTTAAAGAGATGGGTTTTTAATCTAGATTTAAACTGACAGAGTGTGTCTGCCTCCCGAACAATGTTAGGTAGATTATTCCAGAGTTTGGGCGCTAAATAGGAGAAGGATCTGCCGCCCGCAGTTGATTTTGATATTCTAGGTATTATCAGATTGCCAGAGTTTTGAGAACGCAGCGGACGTGGAGGACTATAATGTAACAAGAGCTCGTTCAAATACTGAGGTGCTAAACCATTCAGGGCTTTATAAGTAATAAGCAAGATTTTAAAATCTATAGGATGTTTAATAGGGAGCCAGTGCAGTGTTGACAAAACCGGGCTAATATGGTCATACTTCCTGGTTCTAGTGTGAGAGAGATTGTGTGTGTGTGTGTGAGAGAGAGAGATTGTGTGTGAGAGAGTGTGTGTGTGTGTGTGTGTGTGTGTGTGTGAGGGAGATTGTGTGTGTGAGAGAGAGTGTGCGAGAGTGTGTGCGTGTGTGTGTGTGTTTGCACCTGCGTCCTCACAGCTGGTGAGGGAGAGTCTTTATTCTGCACTTTTGTGACCAAACAGCAGGGGATTTGAACTAATCTGTTCTCATGAATATGCAAATGAGATGCTAATGAGCAGAGCAGAAGCCTTTATTCCTGTACAGTCACTTAAGCAGCAGAAGAAAGATGGTGTTTCTGCGGGGAATGCAGCTCCTAAAGCGTGTCGCCTCTGTTAGCGGCGGAAAAGAATCCTGCTTTGCCTGAAGTCATTGTCAATCACACGTGAAATAAGCATAAATGAGTTTAGTTCAGCCGCTGATCAAACAGTTTGATTCAGTGAACATGAATTCAGAGCTCATACTGGCTGCTGATGTCACTTCCTGTGTGTGTGTGTGTGTGTGTTTCATTCCTCACTGGATGAGTGTGTTTAGTGTGTGTTCTGGGATCCCAAATGAACCTATTAAGACTGTAAATACTGCAGAATTACCTTTTATAAACTCTTAAAGGTCTCCATATTTGATCAGTT